TATTGTGCTTTTTTTTTAGTTAAATATTACACTGGAGCAGCTCGTTAGCCAACTGGTGTACAAGTGTTTCCACACTAAGAGACCGGATGTTACCGCGTTTCTCTGGTTGTCCTCTGGGGAAGCTTTTGAATTGTCACGCTTGTTTGCACAGAGTACTTTGCATTTGTGCGATTGTAGTGATGTAATGTAATGTAATGAACTACATTGCAAGTCAGCCTCATACTGGACTCCAGCAGGGCTGCCCTTTGGCGCCACTTCTGTCACAAGTTTTATGTACAGTTTCTAAACACAACCATGGAGGCTGCGCTGCTTGATTACTTTGGGATGATGTGGTCGGGCAGATGGATGTCTGGGCCCGCCATATCAGACCTGTGTGGGAGGAAGGGGATGGATGATGGATGGATGGATGGGATTGGACATTTGAATGCAGGTTTTATTATAAAGTGTTATTGAACATTTAAAAGGAAGCCCACTGAATGATGGAAGCTCTTTACCTGATCTAAACACACCACTGGTCCCACTATTGAATAATGTATCTGTTTACTTCAGCTGATTCATTTCATAATCACAAACAGATGAATGTAGAAGAGCAATCAGGCAGATCCCATTAAAGGAGAACTCCTTTCAGGTTTGCTCAAAGCTTTTAAGCTGTACAGACAACACAGTGACTGATGGGGAAGTGGATTACATGTGAACACAGTTCACTGTATACATAAATGCACGACTATAACATGTTGACTTTTATTCTGAAACTTCAGTTGTTTATGTTCTTCGAATTGTAGGAACTCTTTCAAACTTTTGGGATTCAGCTCTTGGGTGGTAATGACCATAAAAGCATAAAACCAGCAGCCAACGCATTACCAGAAGGGTCGAAGGTGCAGCACCAGCTGCTTGATGGGAGCTAAACGCCAATCCTAGAGCAGGGGCTGCAGATAAAAGGCATTATGCGGGTGCTGTAAATATCTAATGTTCACTCAGAAACCGTGATGTCAGCAGGGATTCCCACAGAGAGGATGGGCAGATGGGTTTACTACAGGCCTGCAGACGGAGGAAAGAACTGCAGGTGGAAAAAGACCGTCCAACACGTGCCAGAAACAGAAAGCCTTTCAGCTTTTTAAGCTGTTTACTACAGACATTACTCACCTTGTGTGGTACTTCAAGGACATTCTTCTGGAAGTGAAACTGCTGAACTAACCTGAAATACCCATTTCACAACCTAACCTCTATTTTCTCGGCCATTTAATTCAAATTACAAAATGAATCACAGGGAAGACATTCAGTTTGCACTTAAAACAACACCAACCTGTTATCATTGCCAGGAAGTCAGACGCTGCCATTTCATCAAAGCGCTCTTTGGCTTTAGTACATAATGCAGTGGGCGATGGCAACACGGAGGAAGGTTTTACTTCCAGTTCATCACATATTGATGCTTGTGAAGGACACTTGGCATCACATTTAAAAGCACTTGATGAAAAGAGACATTTGAAGCCACAGCAGTATTTTCCTCATTCTAATCAAAGCTGTATTCACTCATGGACTCAGTACTCAAGATCAATAATGCCCTAATGCAAATGTATATGGTATATATCACCTCCTTGTTCATCGACATTTTGGCGAAACGCACTTGTAACATTTAAGCCTTGATAAAAATTACCGGTGAAAATATAGAGAAAAGAAATAAGCGTCATGACAGAGTGACTGAATGTTACTGTTCAGTTAAAGCTTTCCTGCTGAGATGATGGAAAGCTCAACTTGGAGCACGTTCACCACTGAGCACAGGGAAGCTGTGTGTGTGTGTGTCTGTGGTGGATTGTATGTGCTTAGTGATAACTGAGGCAGTGCAGCTAAACTAAGCTAGCCAGGCTGAAAGTGTATTCATAATTCATCACAGACACACTGGAGACTTTACCACGGCAGGACAGATAACGGCCACAGGAAGGTGACTGTGTGTGTGCTCAATATGTTTACTAAAATACTATCGTGCGATCGTGGCTCAAGAGTTGGGAGTTCGTCTTGTAATCGGAAGGTTGCCGGTTCGAGCCCCGGCTTGGTCAGTCTCGGTCGTTGTGTCCTTGGGCAAGACACTTCACCCGTTGACTACTGGTGGTGGTCAGAGGGCCCGGTGGCGCCAGTGTCCGGCAGCCTCGCCTCTGTCAGTGCGCCCCAGGGCGGCTGTGGCTACAATGTAGCTGCCATCACCTGTGTGTGAATGGGTGGATGACTGGATATGTAAAGCGCTTTGGGGTCCTTAAGGACTAGTAAAGCGCTATACAAATACAGACCATTTACTAACAGCAACAATACTACAGTATGGAAGTATTCTACTAATTAGAAGTAAAGGTAGTACAAAGAAAACTGCATACAATAATGTAACTTTGATTTTTAGTTTTAGTTTAGTCTGATTTCTACGTCATATTTGAGGAGACATATTCACTATTGCCTTTAGTATCATTGGGATGTCATTTCAATGACAGCCTCATAGTCAATGAGCAGAAGTAGT